TCAGTCGTAACAACGTGAGTGAGGAAATTCGAATAGTTTTGGCCCAGAAAGCGAAATTTGAATATCAGACACTTAGGTGCAAGATTATGCCGAAATTCCATGTTTTCCGTCCAATTTTCGAAGTTTCTCAAGAACCATTCGAGCCACAGAATTCGTTTTGGCATCGTTGGATAGAAAATTGAATGGGGGGGTGGTCATGGCGCTTATATTCTAGTCCGATTTTTTTTTCAGAAATATTTCGATTAATCAAAATTAAAAACTCACAAAATAATTATTACAAATCAACAAGCAAAAGCATTAATTCATGACAAATTTTCGATAACATCACCACCTCCACCTTCGATGCATTTATTGGCGTGTTTATAAATTGGGCCACTATTGAGTTTTAGCTATGTTTACCAAAAAAACTTGTAGAATTTTCTTCAAAATTCGGTCAAAATAGACACTGTTGAGAATTTTTACTTAGAAAACTCATAAATCAACATGTTCACGTGTGCACTTGACTCGCACATTTCTTCGGTCAATTTCAGTGCAGGTTGATGGGCACAATCGAGTACCTAAATGGTCTAGACAGGAATTTTAAGTGGTGCCAAGACGGGATTGATATTGTCCAGCTGGGGGCTGACTGTATCTGTTTTCTATTTTATGACTTTAATCGAAAAGTGTCGGATTGCGTGGGTTTCCAACAGCTTTTGGAAATTGAAACTGATGAACACTAACAAAATAAAATCCAAACATTTTGAATGGTTTTTCAAATGGTTTGAATTTTTGTTATTAATTAGTCTAAAGTCGATGTCCACTTAATATTCGTTTCCGCATTAGGTTGAAATAGCGCTTGCATAATGTTTTACGCAATTTATTAAATGTCGATCTGGCAATTTCAATGCGGCTGCTTATGTATGAGTCTCTTGTACGCGCTCTCCATCCATTAATGCCCGACTTTGTGACTTTATTTGATCTCTTTATTACATTTTCCTTTGTTTATATTGCTTTCGCTTGAATTTTTGATTATTCAGCTTTAGTTTATTCGAGTGGGTTTTCCGTCGTGCGCCGTATCACAGGCCTTTCGTAAATGTGTCAAACATAGAAAGTTGTTGAAGAAATGAACTAAAGTTGAAGGAAGAATAATTCAATCAAAAGCAACATGAACAAGATTGCAATGGCCGAAAAATGTCCATTGAAACATTTTGAACAATGGCCGAAAAATAAATGTGAAAGGGAACAAGAAGCGTTTACGAGAAAGCCACAAAGTGTAAAAGATTTGTAGAAAATTGATGGAGTTTTCGTTCACTCGTTTTAGGGATTCGGGATGATTTTACAGCGTATTTGGGTATTTTATTAACTTTTATTTGCGCCGCCCATCAATCTATTACATTTTAGAAATTAATTAATACAGTAAAGTCCGCTTATAATGAACCCGGTTATAATGAACTTTCGGTCAAAACGAACTTTTTTCCTTTAATTGGGACGTCATCCATAAAGACCAACGTATTTTTTTACTGGTTATAACGAAACCGTTTATAACGAACTTCCGGATATAACGATCACTTTTTAGGTTAGATGTATATTCACTTTCCGTTTATAACGAACTTCCACGCTCAGCAACACCAATCGTGCGGAGTTGTTTATATTAGTGAGAGCGAGAGACA